AACGTTTTATAACGTTTTTAAAACATGAGTAAGTAGTACAAAATAAGGTTTCAGCATTATTTTCTATGATTTACATGTATATTTAAAACGTGATTGTGAAGGAGAAACAAATAATAGCGTAACTGTAACCCTAGTTTTGGCCCACCCACCCTGTATATTATTCAAGAAAATTATTAATTAAGATTATAGGTAATTTTAAAAGCAATAAAATATAGTTGCTGAAGGAAATGCTTGAAAACTTATTAAGATAGGGTCAGTAAAGAATTACATGATTAAAACTATTATCAATCTTTATATGGGGTAATATTGCACAAACTACTGATCAGCAAATCATGTTTTGCAGGATTAGACATCGTACAGTATAAGATTTTCTGTCTTGTAAAAGACTGACAGATAGAATTTCACTTGAGACCTGATGAGCTGTGGTACTGAGCAAAAGGCTCTGTTGGCAATGGTGCACAACACACAGTGTCCAGTTAAAATTTTATTATACGTTCTATATAACAAAGGTGTGATTAAAATTATATTCAGTTTCTTATTGTAGTAATTTGTTTACTTTCTATGATATAGGCTAGTCTTGCTGACTTGCCACAACCAGTGTGATAAAAGTACCGGTATACCAGGTACAATAAGTAAAGGTATGTTTTGCAACTTTCAGGTTTTTTTGTGTTATCGATTTAATTACATTTTTATATAAAAAAAATATTTTCATCATGGATAGTTTTTCTCTTTTGCAAGCTTGAAATATTGATTTTAACCAAGACATTCATGTATAAGTATCGTTTTCTTGTTTTTTAATTTTTGTTTCTATATTTTTGGACCATTGTTAATCATCTAAGTTTAGGCCTGGATTTATATGGATTTATTTAATGTTTCAAGTATTATTACAGTGAATGTTGGCATATCTATTATGAAGTTATTTAAATGTATTGGACTAGAAATGCTTTATTTTCGTGGAACTTAATTTTATCATGAATGTATGCTACCTAGAGTATATATTCCAGGAAGGACAAATAATCTAAATCCAGGAAAGATTTAGGGAGCTAGTATACAAAGTTTTGTATTTTAGCTTTAATCTTGTTCTGTGTAACTTTAATACTAGCATGGAAAAATTTCTCTAATTTCAACTGTTTATAAATACTTATTACAAAAGACTCAATCTCAAAAATAAGGTTTTGCAGTTTTAGATACCAAGTAGTTTAAATGTAGATAATTTTTTTAGTTTTCGTAAGCTGAGTTCCATATGTTTAACGTTCATGATAAATGCAAAATATTATGTACTGTGCTAGTTTCAAGGGGGTCTGTATATCTTAACTGTAACGTTTCATTCATAAGTTTCAAATTGTTAATAAGAAACATGTTAATTGTTACTAGTCTTGAAAATTGAAACTACGTTGTTTGTCAAAATACTGAAATTTTTTTTTTCTTAAGCAGTGACATGCAAGAAGATAGTGAGATTCCAATATCAGCAGATAATACCATGGTAAGGAGGGTCTTCTTGCTGTAGATTATCTAATAAATTTTTTATATGACAATCCATTTTCTCAATTTGGTGGGGTTAATCATTATTTATGATTAAAATTGTTTGGTAATTAATAAGAACAGTTTTCAAGAGACTTAACCAGCTGTTAAATGGTTTATCTGAAGCTAATACTTGTATTTCTTTTGGAGAGTAAAAATTCTGGAGACTAGCAAATTAAATCTACTCTAAAACGAACTGGTTGTTGAAGGTTTATTAAAGATTAAGTTTTCATAACTCATTTTGCTGGATAACGATTGATAAACGTGTTATTCTATATGTTGATAAGCATATTAAATATTTAGTGTTTTGAATAGTTCTGTCAGGAAAGAAATCATTCATAATTTTTTTAAAGACTTTTCATTGTAAGTATATATGAGAGGTTACTTGCATGTCATGAAATTTAAAAAAATATTGTAACTTCAGACCTACTGATTTTATATATATATATTATATATATATTCTAAGATTTATGAAATTGTTGTAGCATTGTTCCTTCATTTGGGAAGTTCTTTTAAATTATTTGGTGAAAATAATTCAAAGTCCAGTTCACTTAATTATAACAAATAATTTTATTTCTTCTTTAATGTTTCTGCCAAAGGTAATGTGTGATGTTCAAATGGAAATACCATGCTAATTGTAGTAAGATTAACATAAAAGTAGACTTAGATGTACATTTTCATGGCTGGTCAATCAAGTAATTGAATATATATGATAACTAACATGATTCTCCACTGAATAGTTAGTGCTATACCAACTGAAAACTAAAACTGACTCAATGCTTCATTGATTCTCATATTTTTAATATACTCTCACATCTCGATACTCCCTGAATTTACTAGATTTTTGGCATCAAATTTAGGACTGATGGTATTACAGACCTATTTTTATAAACAATTCAATCTTAATGTCTTGTGCCCTTTAGCTAACATTAAAGCATTGAATGCATAGCTTACAACAATATACTAGATCAAACTACCATATAGACTTATGTATATGTGGAAAGCAGTATTTTTAACATCTTCTTGAAAGTTTTTTATTAAGAAAATAAACTCTTAAGACACTCATCCATACATTTGGAAATATCCCAGAACTGAAATTTATTGAATTAAAGTTTCATTTATTTAATTTGAAATTAAACAAAAAAAATTGCAAACTTAGAATCTTGAGTTGATTTCAGCAAGTTCCGAAAGAAATCATTAGTGTTGGTGAATTTTCTGAAATTTTTTGAGCTTAAAACACTCGTAGCCCCGTTGGAGAAAATTCATGATTATTTTGAACAAAATAGCACTAATTTGACCTTGTAGTTTAATTATAATTACAATTTTATCAATTTGTAACCCAAACACTGTTACTTAACATCAGTTGTCATTGTGTAATATAATTGCCTGTATCTCAGCTTCGAAAAGTCTTTGTTTAGTGTTCTAAAGGTATAATGAAAGCCCTTATTCTGTTCTTTTCAGTTGTATAAGCCAATGTGGCCTCCAGTTCAGTTGAGATTTATGTAGAGGTCAGAACAAAGGGATAAAAGCTTAGCTTGGTAATATGTTGCTAAAAGGAAAGATGTTTGTGAACAACTTCTGCCACAGTTTTTGACTTGACTTCTTTTAAATATTGCTGTATCATTTCCTAATTAATTTGAGTTGCGATGTTACAGTACGATAAGAAATGTTTTTCTGTGCAACAAAAATATAGTCCGTAGAAAGTTCTTCCAAAGTTTCAAACTATTTCACCCAGTATTTTTTTTTGCAGTGCAGTAACATAAACCATTAACAGGTGCATTGAAATGACACACCTGAGTCAGAATTAAAGATATAATTAATCACTAATTGCACTTTCTTTTATTGACACTAAATGCATCTTGAATGTACTTCTAATATTATACAGTAGACTTAAGTTATTAACTGTGAATACTGAATATTTATGATATGACAAAATATAGCTTATACATTCTTTGAAAAACTTACAAAGGTAGATGAAACTCAGCTATTGTAATAAATGTGTTTAACATAAAATCATGTTTCATTTAAATCATGCAATTTGAAATCTCGGTTTGTATAACTTGAATTCACCAGTAATGCAAACCTTTATTCTGTTATTTTGAAATTATACATCATATTGATATTCTTCTGTATACTTACATGTTAAAGCTTTCTTTTTTAAAATTGGATTACTGGTACTAATTATGATGCATAATTTTCTATCCTGTTTTTCACTTTCAAGTATTTAATTTTAAGGAAGTTTGTTTTTATTTTGTCTTGTAATGCTATGAGATTGACTTTTTGAAACCTGCATTAAATTCCATAGAAATGTATTTAACTAATGACTGGATGAGTGTCAGTGATATTGTTATGTGTTTTGAAAACATTCTGTATTTCAAAAAAATCAAAATGAAAGTAAGGCTTAAAGCAACATGGTTCACTTGACTTCTAAAACTTTGGTTTGGTGATTAAGACAGCCAAGATAGTTTAAAGTTGGTTGACTGGCTAATTTAGTCATATAAGAGTATTTGAAATTTATCAAAATGGTTGTGGTCTTTGAAGTAATTTTGTAAACTTGATTAAAATTAGAATACAGTGAATGTATTATAAAGTTACATAAATAATGAACTTCTATGTTTGAAATTTGCAAGTGTAGGGTGTGAATCCTAAAACTTGCTTAGCTGTAGACCTGCTATAATGTAGGAAAATTATGTTGTCAGAAGCATTAGAAAACTGACATTTAAAGTAATTGTAGTGAATAGAGGCTACTATAACAAGTAACACAAAGGTAGATATTATAGTTGAAATCAAAATAGAGCCATTGATACTACTGAGTTTACTAATTCACTTGAATTTCTGAAATGTACTTTAAAATATTTTTTGGGATGGTGACCCATATTCATTTGTTGAGTAAAAAAAGGTGAATGTTTTTTAATATAGTGTTTAAGATCTTTTATCAGATACATCCTTCGGATGTTATGAAAAACACATTAGTTTTTTGGATAAAGACTAAAAAATTATATTTAAAGGATTTTTACCACTTTTGGTGCTAGTTGCATGGATTTCTGTAATCATTGTTCAATACAACACCATTTAGTTCTATATTTTCTGGGTATTTAATTATTTCCTAATTACATTTTTATCTAATTGCATAGTTCATTTGAACTTTTTTTTTTAAATTTGAATACATATGTATTGAAAATGTTTTTGCTTTGTTGGTCTTTTCTAAGTATTTTAAACTATACAGGAAAATGCAGACTTGAGGAGACAACTGGTGCTATTACAACAACAGCTGAAAGAAAGAGACTGTACAATTCACTTACTCCAACAACAAATGGTAATTTCATTGATAGTTTATCACATTATCTGCTAATTTAAGAATTTAATACAATTTTAAATAATTAAGGCTCTCATTATTGGAAGTAATGCATTGTGACCAAGTATGTAATATTCCTATATATGTTTTGAGTTTAATATTTTAGAGATTAAAGTTATTTAAAACAAATTATAAAGCTCTACTAAAATGTTTCTAATGTAGTTGAATAAAATCTATGTATAACGGTGATTTTACTTCCTTGAGTTTAATATGATACAAGGTATTAAGTTATGTAACTAGTTTTCAGGGCTTTTCTCTACATTTAATGTTAGTCCTTTGGTTAATTTTGTAAATGAAACTCAATTTTATATAGTTCTTAATAACAGATTTTGAAAAAATGTATACTAGTGTAAAATAAGCAGATTATAAGACGTACAGTGATTAACTCACAGTGATTCATCTTGTAGTAATGTCATTTTGACCATCAATTTGAAAATAAATTACAAACTCTGATAAGCTTATCTGATTGAGGGTATATTTAGATAATTATACAAAACTAATCTAATTATTTCGTATATTAATATTTTTAAAATGAGTCGTATTTGATCGTGTATAAAAGGAGTACACAAATTATATAAGAATTTGGAGTCTTGATGTAGTTGATTAGAAAAACAGAATAAAGATTTGAAGTAATAATGTAGCAAGTTCATAAAATTAAGTTACCGGAAACAGTACTAATGTTGACAGTGATATATTAACATTACAGTATGAAGCGGAAGAACATGTAGAACAAAATGAAATTAGCATTTAAAATAAATGAAGATGCAGTGTGGATAAATATATGTAACACATCTTAATCATTTTTAAATTATCCATTGAAAAGTTTAAATCTGCTAAAAAAAGTATCAATATGTGTAGTTTGATATATTCAACTCACTGATGATACATAGTCATTGAAAAATCAAGATCCTTCAGAGTAGGTGAGTTTTAACTTCTTTGTAGTTATAATTGACGCCATTTTCTGGACTGCAACATTCAGTCTTTTAATGCCTCCTTTCTTGTAATTTATAATGAATTCCTGTTTAAAATCTATGTGTTCCATTTAGTTTTGTCATTAAACATTCTGTGTTTACTCATTGGAAGTAGAATTTATAATGCTTACAAGTTTTTTGTTTTGATGGATTCCTTTAAAACATATTATTCCTTACTGTATATTCTTTGATTGTGCAATATCCTGCAAACAAAAAGTTTTACCTGTATACATATTTTCTATGCATTTGTTTCAATGCTGACAAAAGAGGTGTAGGCACATAAGACAACAACAGCTGTTGATAAATTTTCATGTTGTGTTTGCTGTTAACATTTTTTTTTCCCCCTAAACCACTCATTTTGTTGGTGATAAGTGATTTTAAACATACCTATATGTCTCCGTGTAGGATTAATAAATTCTGAAATATGTGTTTCAGTTCTAGTTAGAAGGAAGTTGATAATTGCTGATTTGATGTGATAACTGAAATATTTTCTTTTGTACTTTGTGATCATGTCCATTTTTGATAGCTAATGCATCAAGTAATAGTAATTATTTTATTCTTTATTTGTTTAGAACTCATTAAAATATTGGGCTACAGTTACTGTTACAAAGTCTTTCAGTTCTAACTGTCGCTTAATTTCCATCAGCTAAAACTTTGAAGAATATAGCTAAATATATATATTTCTCACAGTATTCATTGCACTTGAAAACCTTGATGAAACTAATAGTAGAGGAACATCTTTATTTTTATTTGATAATTCATAAATCTTATGTTGTGAACTTAGTTATACAAGTTTTCAGTAGCTTGATTTAAAATCTTATTAATTTTCTCTCAAGGTTTTATGTTGTATTTATGAAGTTTTTACTAACAAGAATCACTTCAATATTGCTCTTCTAGATCAAGTAATATGATTAGAAGTTTATTATTTTCATTCTTGCCCCCTTCTCTTTGCTCTGTTTTAAATTTTGTCATTGTTTCTTGGACTTCTAATTTAAAATTGATAGCTTAGTTTTATTTTTATTTTAGTGTATATTGTATGCCAGCTATGTTGTAAAGTCGTCAGTCCTTTATAAAAATATAATCTTGATATTAATGGACTCATTTGGAAATTAATATCCTTCAAGTTTGTAATATCATTGACATACAATTTTTGTTTAATTAACTGGAATTTGATAAAATTATTAAGATGGTTTTCCTTAATTTGGTTTATTTTACTAAGTTTATTAGTATATCTTAAGGATGTTGTAGTTTAATAAGTGAAAGTCTTCTTAGTTGTTCATTGTTTTTATGTACATGTTTCATGATTTAAGCATTGTATTTTATATCAACTCCAAAAGAAGATCATTTTTAGTCACCCAATTTCCTAAAACTAATTTTTCTTTAATTATAAGCAGTTTTTTCTCAATACACATTACAGTTAGAGGCCTTGTCTTTCTCGTGATACGTAACTATTTCAGTATTTCCAGGTTATATGAATTTTTCCCTTCGTGTATAAATGTTTGTACGTGTATGTTATATCTATTTTTCACTAGTTTTATGTTATGTTTGATTGTATTTAGTGATGTTTCAGATTTGGTGTATTGTTTTAAAATATGCACACATGTCAATACTCTTTCACTGTGAAAGAAAGTTTGATGTTAAATAATGCAATTAAAAATATGTTGGATTTTTTCAGACTAAGTATACTACAGTTCCTGGCAGTTCCAGAGGAAAACTTTTATCCAATTCTACTACACAAACAGATAAGGTAAGCAAGTAATTTGAATGCTCAATTAGGAGATTAAAATATATATATATATATAAATAAAGTGTGAGTTTATTTCTTCTAAGGGAGAACTATAAGAATTAGAAATTGCAAGCATTTTGGTGTTTGAAAATAGTATAATAAAAAGTGTTTTGCTTAGGATATCAAAATAGTGTTGTAGGACGTTTTTTGTTATTGATTCTGTGTATTAAAATAACTGATTAAATGCTATACTGTCAGTTGCTTTGGAATTCACTACTGATCCTTCAGTTAGCTACAGAAGGGCATAATATGTGTTCTTGCATAAGGACAAACTTTATATAGTATTATACTAATTAAAAGAACTGTAGTTTTCTGCTTCATATTTGCTTGTTAGACTGTGTTTTCAATGTCCAGTAAAATATCAAGAACTTTGAGAAGTAATTTTATTTTAAAAAAATATGGTAAATATTATGAAAAGTATACTGAATAAAGTTCTTAATATTGTAAATAATAGGTTTTTGAACATTAGTGCTCAGGAAAATATTAGGTTTTTTCTTGAAACTGATATTTATTATGTATTTGACCCACTTTTGATAAAGGATAAAGTTAATTAGCAAGAAGTAATTTTTGTTTTATGTTGAGAAACAAACAGAATACATAAGTCTTATAAGAATCAACTTAGTAATTGATTAATATATCCAAAATCCTGTTTAGTTATATTTGTGAGTATAACTTTTCATTGTCATATATTTTTTTTTATAGACAAATACAAATAGAATTATTTTGCAAACAGGTTAAGAAACAAGGATATTTTGGTCTTCCTTGAGCCCTGATGTCTGTGTATGGTTTATTCATTGTGAAATAGTTTGTGTGTCAAATTATGAGGTAATACCTGTACTATTACAGCCACGGGACTCAGCCGTCTCTTGCTCTCTTTCTGAAGAGCCTAATCCAGATGGTTCCCACTCAGGATTACTAGTCAGGTATATTTGACTGTGCATGTTTTTCTGAAGAATTGAAATTGAGAATGAATTGGATTCAAACTCGTATCCTTGCTTGCTTGGCATGTTATTTAATCACCTATGCTTTTGGATCTTAAATATATAAGAGCTATAGTTTTCATTAGTTTTTTAAAAGTTTTGAAACTGGCAGAACACTAGTCTGTATTAAATAGCCTTTAAATTCCAAACCCCCATTTAATGGGATGTGCATATATAATATCACTGGGGAAATGTAGGTTTAACATTGAAGGATTATTAAACAAATTGGTTCTTATGAAGAAATTCTAATATGATGAAAATACATGTTTAACTGAAAATTTTTTTATCACAGGCTTCCTGTACAGTGACTTGTAACACACAAAACATTGATCTGAAATACAGTTTTTACATGCCTGATTTAAATGTATAATGAGCTAGAGAAGTATGATAAAAATCAGCTGCAATAACACATAATTTTTTATCACTTTTATTATATCTCTCAAGCCTCCTTGATTTATCAGTTTGAGTCTTTTTGAACCATGAATTTTAAACTGGTTATATCATGTATATGTCTAGAAATGACTTGTTGCTGCTGAAAAGCAAAAGTGTATGAATTCAAAAGTTAATGAAAATTATATCTGTAAATTTGGGGTCTTATTCAGGATGTTAAGAAAGTATTAAATAGAAAAACCTTTTATTGCTTAAATTTTATGATTAAGGTAAAATCTCTATGTGCTGCATGAACTTTTTTTTTAAGTCTGATTAGAAGTTAGAATTTGATCTAGTAATTAATTAATAGTAGATTTATATATTTTGTATATTCATTTTGGTCCTAAAATATACAAATTTTTTTGCTGTAAACATTTCATTACAGTTCTGGTAACAAACATTGTATAGATCTAACCTTTAGGCTTGAGTGAAGAACTTCAGAATAAAAAACTGATTTATTTCAGCATCAACTCATGTGGCTCTACATTTATAATGTAACATATTTAAATGATTTTGATTTCTAATGGATTATCTTTCTTGAACAAATATTGATACCAATTTTCTACTGGTTAGGTAGACTTGATTTACATTATGAAAATAGATAAAATTTAAAGCAGTACTTGATAATTCCTAAATTTATCTAATTTGGTTTCAAATTATGATCTTGAGTTTAAAGCTCATTTCATTTTTATGACTGCCACAGGAATAATGTTTTACACTTGTAATTAAGTTATGATTGTTTATTTATTCATAGTATACTTTTTGTTAACTGGACCTGCTTGAAGTTTGAAAACTAGAAAGTATTTCGTTTTAATAGTTAATCAAAAAGAAAGAAAAGCATAAAGTATTCTCAAGTCTCCATACCTTCAATACTTACAGCACATTTAAAACACAGCTATATCTAGTAACAGTTGTTTACTATTTTAAATTAAACATTTGTTCCTATTTTTACTCTATCTATAAGCTAAAATAATGTTTATTTTCTGTTTTAAAACTGGAAATTCTTGTGTTTGTTTTCATTTTTATAATTTGATTAACCATTTTGAGATTGGTCACGGGTGAAATGCCATGTCATCTCATTTGTTGACTTGCATTCAAAATTTTATTGAACTACTATTTCATGAATTTATATTAATAACTTTGATATCACACTGTAGATTATAATTCAAATGTTAGTACTATACATTACTCAATTTCTTAATTTAAAATCAAATATTAAAAAACAGATAAACATCAATTATTGTGTGTCACGTGGTATGTTGAATGCAGCACTGGTTCAAATTAGGTGTTTGTGAAGTCAAAGTACCAAGTCTATAGTTTTGTATAAATTAGAAACTCAAATTACCGATATTGACAAGCTAGAATATAAAATAAGTTTCTCTTATCCTTTCAGTTTGCTAAGATATTGCTCATGCAATAAATCAAACACAGTGGCACCCCGCCCACCTCTTTCCTTTTTTGGAAACTTTCCTTTATATACACTTACTTCTATATATGACATGAATAACTAATCGGAAGCTCAGAATGTCCCACTAGTGGCTTTCTCAGCCATTTTAACGGCTTAGCGCCATTTCTTTCTTTTGAACCAATAGTTCAACAAGACTAAAATACATCTTAGTTACTAAGCTTGATAAATTATAGTAGAATTCTATGGTATTAATGTAGTAATTTATGATTTTTTAGCTATTTTTATGCATATATAAAAAACCTAAAAAAATTTTGTTTCATATCCTCTACGTGCAAATTTTTTAAAGGCTTAGTAACCTATGTCAAGTACCAACTGAGTACAAAGGTTGTAACTAGAAGAGATAATTGGTTGCTTTACTTCTTTAGTTACTGTTCTATATTTTAAGAAAAATAAGTTTAAGAACTTATTTCCAAATAGCAATAATCTATATACAAATATAATGTATAATAATTGAAATGTGACTTTATTTTTCAAAATACTAGTCTACTAAAACACAACCAAGACAAGTTACTTTGCACAGACCAAAGGTCAGTTTTATGTTATTTGATACGGTAACATAAGTGCACGTGAGCCGCATCATTGTAACTTCTGTATTGTTAGCCAGGCACAGCTGAAAGGTCAATATAATAAAAATAATAAATGTATAATGTTATGAGATTTAAGCTATTTAGTCTAAATATTTCTGTTTTTGTGTTATAATCTGTGTTCATTATAGAATGAAAGAGGCATAATTTATATTTATTTCCTAATTGTTTATGGTGGTTGAGAGATCGGTCAAATCGTACAGAGATTAATTACTGAAAATAACAGATAAAATATAAAGTTTTTTCTTAAGAAATGTATGATAACTATCTTGACATTATAAAGATTTCACATGTGAAATTTGAAAATTTTCTGATGCATAAAAGTATTTTTAATATTAAAATGAATATTATTTTGCATGATTGATAAGTAATATGTGAAAAGAAAAAAGTACATGAGAAAAACATTGCTTTACAAACATTAAGACTTAATATAAAAAAAATTATATTTTGGGTATGAAAGCATTGTAATGTTTGCTGATAATCTGCCAACTTTTGTTAATATTTGCTCCCTAATTTAAAAGTTATAGCATGAAAACTATAACAAGCACAAAATGGTTACTAGGTCAGTCCCAGGGACCAAGGCTGTGCGAAAAGAGTTAAAGAGCACCCTAAAAGACAGTGCACTTAGTCTTAGTGCATTTGTGATTTATTGACATTTGTTTACTTTTATCACTTATTTTGTATACTAAAATGACCTCTTAACTTCTATTGGATCTGTGATTGAATCGCATTTGCTACTGTTTACCACATAAACTGTTTACCAAGAAATGGTATTAATTAAAGCATTTTCCTGCTTCTGTCACACTTTAACAATAGCTGTGTTGAGAACTAAAAAGATAGTTCTGCAAGATAATTGTGTAAAAGAAGTATCTCTCTTTTTTATGCTTTTAAGGTTAATATGAACAGATCTTCTTTTGGGATCTTTGATGTCATGTTAAGTTCACCAACACTCAACTAAATGTTATTAACTTTGTAATAAGAACTGGATTAATAAAGCCTTCTCACAACATATCATCTCCATTATTAACTCTTGAGAAATATGTTGTTGGAAGTTTATTAGGAAAATGTTTGTATAGTCTTAAAATACAAATCAGTTTTAAATTACAGGAAAGAATAAATACGAAGATAACGACAGAATTATATTTTGTGTTCTCAAACTGTGTTATAAGCATCCACTAGCTGAATAGTGAGGTAGATTCCCATTGTTTTAGACAAATACATTTGTAAAGGCTGCCATTTAGCTATACAAAGAAAATCTACTGTAATTTAGCACATTGACTAGTTTTAGCTTAAAATGTATAAACACAAACTCAACAAATACTATAGAAACCCCTGCCTTAAATAGACTCTAACTTCCCTTGTTGTTAACAAAACATTTATAGGAGTGTTTACAACCTTAGGACACCTAAGGGAGAAAATTAAAACTAGAAACTCTGCCTTTTTCACCAACACCATACTTACTCTCCTTTCGATGTGCAGAGTCATTTTTTAATTCAATGGTGCAATTTTGCCTTTGATGTACAACAGAATTGAGCACAACAAACTAAAAATTGTAAATGGAGTTAAAATATAGAAGTATAAAATATATTGCATAAAGATTTAAGTTAATAAAAAAAAGACTAGTAATTGGAATTGAAATTATAATAAATCATATTAATGCATACTATAATTTACACTTCAACTCTCTCTCAACACAGGTTTGGTTGAATTGACTGACTTAATAACTGCTGTTGTACTCATTATAGTTTATATACTTTAACTTTTAATATGCTTGGTGTATCTTCACACTTTTAGTAAACATTACAAGTCTTTCGTACACAAAAAATCAGATTTTTTAATGAAGTATTTTTACTAAAGATTTGTCTGTGAATATAGATAGTACTTCTATACTACTATATTACTACTCTAAGTGTTAAGCAATTTTCATGTTAAGATTAAAAATACTTTTATTCATCTCAAAAATCTCAAATTATATTTTTATAATCTCTAAAACCTTCTAACTAAATTGCATATGTTTTTATTCAGTAAAACTTTATATTTTATCTGTTATTTTCTCTACCCTAACTTTATACAAGATTGGACAATTTGACCAACCTCGTAACCGTCCAAAAAATAAAAAAATAAATCTAAATTACCCTTTTTTCTTTCCACAATGATTTCAAATTGTAATATGAAACTAATTTGTTTGTTCTTAATAGCTTTAAACACATAACAGTATACATTTATTTATATTTAAATTTTATTGTTTTATTGCCCTTTGAGCCCCGTCTCATTA